GTACCACGTCCACGGTTCAACTTTGGAAATGATCATGCAGACAATAGACCCCGGACTAGGTGCGTTCCAACAAGTCCTCCTACCAATATGACCATGTTGCGAAAACAAGGTCAAACAACCTCTATAAAGTGATATAGTTTGTTAAAGTCAATGTCAACCTCAAGCGCATGAGTATATCTGTTTGTGTGTATATGTGCATTTATGTGTTAGCATGTGCACGAAACCAGCTGTGAGGGCTCAACCCAATTGGACCATAAAAGTAACGTCTGTTTTCTCTATATTTTACGCGTCTCTCCGATTGAGCAAGGTCGGACAGGTTTAGTTATATGAGCTGTATTCACCCTATTTCGTTTATGGTAATGAAGGACTGGTAGTAGTATTTTCCCATAATCACATGAGTAGAGCTGACGTTTCCATTCAATTCCACATAGCCGTGCTTTCCCAAAAGTTGTTCTCATTTCGGCTGGAGTAGACCGAGATGAAGTCGAAACTGCAATCCACTGGTGCCTGGATGAGAACAACTTTTGGGAGCAAGACAATGTGAAATTGAATGGGATATCCTTTTGGGAAAATTCTACTACCAGTCCTTCATCACCTTAGACGAAATTGGGTGAATACATCTCATTACACTGATTTACTGGTAGTCTTGAAAGTCTATTTAAATACGAAAAATAGGTTTCGTTATGTTGATGATATGAGAAAGAGAGAGAGGGCTAAAAAGTACAGAAAAGTGGCTGTGGTTAGAGCCGGTGAGTTTTTTTGACTCGTTAGCTTGAACATGCTCTGATAATGCTCGTCGTACGACGGACGGAAACTTGGCACGTCTTCATCGGAATTGAAGGAGATTACCTCTTCGAAGTAGTATCAACAAGAATGTTCCAGTAAAGCCAATCGACAGCTGATCAAGAGGAACTCGTTCTGTCGTCTTCTGGTGGGATCGAACTACAAATCTCCTCATGACTCTCCATTTCGAAGCGAGAGTTGGTTGGAAGGAAGACTGTTGAATTGTGCGAAGAGGTGTTCTGTTCACCCTCTTGCGACCTCGATAAGCATCCGTCGTGATAAAGATCATCAGAGCCAGAAGCAATACTTTACGAAATAGAGCAAAAATATGCTAAATCGAGAGAAAAGGTGACTTTCTGTACCAGAAATGCGTTCGTCTGTAGCTGTTTGATCACACACAAAAAACCAGCTTACGATCGCCTAATCTTGAATCATGTTTGGGCTTGTGCTATTGTCTATTGCGTGTAGGTAATGTTCATGTCATGAGAAGTGTGATAATCCGAGCTAGACTCGATGTTTGGTTGCTTTTCCTCCTGCACCACCTCTCTCTCCCTTTCTTTAAGTCGAGTAAGGTTGAAGTGGCCAGCCAAATCATGCGATGCCTCATCAAGATCGCCAACTTTGGCGTATATTGAAAGCGATTAGTAACTTGCTTCGCTATCTCTTCATTATGACATGCAATCCAAGGGACCAGGACATCACACATACGTTATTTTTCGTTTATTAATATGTTTTCGAGACTACCTGTTAATCAGTTATATGAAATGTATTCACCCCATTTCGTTTAAGGTGATGATTTACCGATTCGCTGGTAGGTTCGAGACCCTACTCATAAGCGAAAAATGAGTAATGAGGTCAATTGCCGTAGAAAATATCATTTTATTCCATCGAAAATCCCACCAAAGAATGTGAAATAGGAAAATGCCTGGTATTTCTTGAATTCTACATCTGCCCTCTAGCCCAAGGACACTCGTGGCAATGTAACGTGGTGATTAACTTGTTGAGATCATACGCTCCGCTGGGAGGCCGAAACTGTAGTCTACTCTGAATGGGAAAGCAACGCCATGTAAAATTCAATGAAAGACTCAACCCCACTCACATACTTGTGGGAAAATTCGACTACCAATGCTTAATCACATTAATCGAAATCGAGTACATACATGTCATAAACATACGTCATATCCATTTGGTATCATTAGGTTTGCATTGATTTGAGGACAAGGGACAGACGAATTTCCTTAATAGAGGCAGAATACAACATGCATGAGCAACGTAAGAAGCTATACAATACCAGGGGAACTATGCAAACTCAATCTGAATACCAAATGTTGTTACTCTTCCCCTTGGAACGCCTCAAGTTTAGATATATGGGGATTTATTCGCCATCAATGGCATATTTCTTTTTCGCGTTTTCGTCCCACTTTATATACTACTTGTATACGCGTTGAACTTTGTATTTTCTTACAGGGATCAGTCTAACTGTTTCATTTAATAGACACATATTATAAGATTTTGTTCACTTGATTAATTAATTTGGCTATCCAGACAAGTCTTTTAATGGGGATTTATAGGTAGCATTTTCATTTCTATGTTTTTGCATATACATGCTGTCCAAATGAAATTGTGGTCTAGAACTTTTCTACCGATACGATTTAAGAGGCTTGTAACATGGAATTTCTCGCATTTTTTTTAAAGATGGGATGATTTTTTGTAACTAAAATACGTGATTTCTTTCCCTATTTATTCACTATCACAAGGTTTTATATAACTAAATATCCACCATAAGAAAGAGTCATGCCCGAATAGCACGAGAAGTTACATGCTCTCTACTAGTGATTAATTCAGGCATTGCTATTTTGTGGGCAACATGTTTTTTTATGGAACTCATGTAAACTTAAATCTATATTCCACTTTGAATAGAACCACAGTTTTGACAGATAATTTATGAAATTCTGTAGTAGGTCATTCACCCAATCTTTTGTTATTCCTCATGTGCTTGGCGCAGGCATCCCTTTATGTATCTTTTATGTAAAATAAAGCTGCCAAATTGTTTTGCAAACCGGTTCGTTCCTTCCTTTTATTGCATTACTTTATACACGGAAAGATGGAAAAATTCATCTTACTGGCCCAGATTTTGTGCTAAAAGAATGCCAGAAAGGGCGGTTAAAAATTCTTTTGTTAAACATTTTTTTGTGGGGGGCCTGCAACCTGCTTATAGTCAAGGATTGCTAATAAAGAGCATAAATATATTAGTTTTAATGGTATCCTCTGGACATTTAAAACTAGTTTCCTCACAGGCTCATAGCAAAGTTGGTGGCACTTTGTTGTTTTGGACGAACCGAGCGAAAGTTGATTGGTATGGCTGAGATAAGATTGCAACGTTTTTTCATCTTTTGGGCTAATTTTACGTCAGGAATAATGACAAAGATTTCATAAAAGCTTCTATTCATGTTTTGCCATACCCGATTACTTTTTACATTTGCATTTTGTCGAAAAGTCATCACAACAGTCTTACGAGTTACCATTTACACGCTATTTCCCATCTCTATGCAGTTCGCATCCTTTTGTTAAGTAGGACAACGTCAGTTCACAAAACTTTTCAGCCCTCGCGCATATATTTAGATTTCTCGATATAATGGCGTCAGATGCATCTTATTCGCTGATATCACTTTCTGACCGTCTCTTCGCCTCTTCTAACTGTCAGAGGGTTCCCATACATTTATTATGTCTCAACTATTTAGGCTTCCTTTTGTGCTTAACGATTCAGCCCCATTCCGACCTTTTTACCTTGAATTACTCACGGACCTTCCTTCTTTAATCTTCTTCCTTTGGGATTCATACCTTAGATACGAGACACGCCTACTGAGAAGAATGACAGATTAAAATCTTGTTTTTATTCATATGAAAATTATATTCTTTACTTTTGTTAGGTTTTCAGAAAAATCTCGCTTCCAAGCTGTTTTATTTTGCCACTAATACCAACTATCTGCCCTACATTCCCTTTTTCGTTTCCCACAGAACCGAACAGGTGACCTACATCTGTCGTACTTTGCGTCTCCTCAACAGTCTCGCGGTTCCCTGGATCGGTATTGCTCTCACTTGGACACAATATCAGGCTCTGGGCCCTTCCAATCTTCTTGATCGTTTACTACATCGAAATCATTATCCAATCGCTCTCGAGTTTCTTCGTTTGCTTGAGACGGTCAATCCAAAAGGATCGGCAAATCAACATACCAGTAAGTTTCTATCTGCTATAAGCTGTAACAATATGGGCTAGGAGGCCACTTTTTGTATACCCGCTACAAAATGACCGTGTCTACTGATATTGCTGAGGTCCACTTTCTCTTTGACTCATTAATCTCACTACATAACACTACTCCGGCTTACTCGGCTCCTTGCTCTTTTAGCCAGTAGCTATTAAACGACATTGTGAGTACTCATTTGGTTGGAGCTATTAGGAATCCTATTGCTTCAAGGATACTTTCTTTGTTGTACAATGTTGGATGGAGTAATTGTGATCCATCGAAGAGTCATACCATCTAGCTTGGGCTGCAGCTTCGACCTCACCTCATCTCATCCTTGCCACTAACAGTATTCGGATTGTGGTCTTGAGTGGCCAGAGAAACTCATTAGCCTGCATTACATGAATACAACTGATCTGTAGTCACTTCACCATGGGCAGATCCAAAGCCAGCCAAGCAGTACAGTAGGACAAATGATTTATCTTGTCAAGCAGGAGCAAGTTAATCCATGCGTTGATTCAATAGTCTCATGCGCCTTCATAGCTAAGTTTTCTGCCAAATTGAAACTGCTCCAGTGCGCCATTTCTACGGGCTTTGCAGACAGAATTACGGAGGGAGGCAAGAAAAGGTGCTGATAACGAGGCAGTTTTGGTAAGAAAGCTGTGTGATTCAGGGTCACCAAGCTGGCAGATGCCTCCAGACTGAACCAATGAACGGCCTTCGCATCCAGTAACAAATGACAAGGTGCACTTTGGTAACCGATAAAATCAAGATTCTTCCAACAATATATATAAATAAAAAAAAATATATGTATAGGATGAAAATGTGTAATGAAGAGATTCAAAGGTCGATCCCACTACAAGAAAACGGCGGATTCGTTTTGGCCATCTCTCGTCTGGTTTTACTGGAATATTCTGTCTCTGTGACGGTTTTAGATTCCATTGAAGAAGTGATAAACCTTTGTCTGTAATTTGACAGACATCCTTAGAGCAGAGTATCACTTCTACAGCCATATTCAAGGTAACGAGTCAATAAAATTCGCCGGATTGGCTCTAAATTATATATATATATATATATATGGAGGTTGTTTGACCTTGTTTTCGCAACTTGGTCATGTTGGTAGGAAGACTTAGAGGAACGCACCTTGTTTATAGTCCATTGTCTGCATGATCATTTCCAAAGTTAAACCGTGGACGTGGTACATTTCCAAACGTTTCGCCGGCATCCTCAGTGAGTATTGCCATTCTTAGCACCACACCACAACTCGTCTAAGAGACTAGTAAGCCTACCCTTTGCACAAACGTGGGTTAAACAGTTGTGGTATCTCCCCCTCTGCCCTGTGCTATTCACCTTTACTATATCCTCCTATCACGCCTTCACTATCACACTTTTTTACTTGCTTATTTAAATGTGATATGGTGTGCCCTTTTGAGCGAATGTCATAGCAGCTCTTCACACTCCAGACTGGCTTTGTCAACTCTCTTCACCCTCGTGCTTTGATTGTTAATCAGAGTGTGCCATATAGTCACACTGTCCTCCTTTCACAGGTCTTCTTAGCCTCCCTCTTGCTTCGTACATTCCGTCTGCTGTCTTCCTCATTCAAGTATTTCACTCGGCCGCTGCCACCCCATTTGTGCTACTCGAGGCGTTATTTCCCACACTGCGTTTGCTAAGCTCACTTGAGGCTAAAGACTCCAAGTAATTATCATGGTCAAGCCTTTGCTTCATGCACCACGTTTATGGTAAAAAAGGCCTACTGTCAGCTTTGGGTTGAGTGTAGAACCCCAACATTTGTGGGTTGGGCATAGGACCTCATAGACCCAGTAATAGGAGTAGAAACATGATAGACGCGGCAGGGAATAGAGCTAGTTGGCTGACAGAATGCCTGTTTTACCATAGACATGGTCCATGAAGCAAAGGCTTGATGTTAACAATTACTCGGGGCTTAAGCCTCAATTTAGTGTCCGAGACGCAGAGTGTGAGTAATCACGCCTCGAGTAGGACGGATAGGATGGCAGGGGTCGAGTGAAATACTTGAACCAATACTTGATCCTACTGGGCAAAAGTGAGACTCTGAGAAGACCTGTAAAAGGAGGACAGTGGGATCAACACTCTCAGCACAAGGGTGTGGAGAGTTGCCATGGCATTCACTCAAAAGGACACACTATATCACATTTAAATAAGCAAGCAAAAATTGTGATAGTGAAGGCGTGATGAGAGGATATAGGAAAGGTGAATATCCCAGGACGTAAGGAGAAATACCACAAATGTTTAGCACACATTTGGTGAAATGATCCGCTTCACTTGTCTCTTTGACGAGTTGTTGTGTGGTGCTAAGAATGGCGATACTCACTGACGATGCTGACTTCAATGCAAGCGAAACGTCTAG